TAGTATCTTTGGATTTTATACAATACAATCAAGTAACAAAATACAATAAATCAGTAATCTATAAATACACTCTATATCTGATATAAAAATGTTTGAATAATTTAAAAACCATGTATTACAACATACTAATGTCATAATGACATGAAACAGTTTTGAAGACCAACACTTGTATCACTGTGATGTTAGACCGAGGATGACAAACCTTGTAATGTTGATATCAGTCTTGTGTGAGATATATAACACTGTAATGTTAGACCAAGGATGACAAACCTTGTAATGTTGATGTCAGTCTTGTGTGAGATATATAACACTGTAATGTTAGAGTGAATGACAAACCTTGTAATGTTGATATCAGTCTTGTGTGAGATATATAACACTAATGTTAGACCGAGGATGACAAACCTTGTAATGTTGATATTAGTCTTGTGTGAGATATATAACACTGTAATGTTAGACCGATGATGACGAACCTTGTAATGTTGATGTCAGTCTTGTGTGAGATATATAACACAGTAATGTTAGACCGAGGATGGCAAACTTTGTAATGTTGATGTCAGTCTTGTGTGAAATATATAACACTGTAATGTTAGACCGAGAATGACAAACCTTGTAATGTTGATGTCAGTCTTGTGTGAGATGTATAACACTGTAATGTTAGACCGAGGATGACAAACCTTGTAATGTTGATATCAGTCTTATGTGAGATATATAATACTGTAATGTTAGACCAAGGATGACAAACCTTGTAATGTTGATATCAGTCTTGTGTGAGATATATAACACTGTAATGTTAGACCAAGGATGACAAACCTTGTAATGTTGATATCAGTCTTGTGTGAGATATATAACACTGTAATGTTAGACCAAGGAAACAAACCTTGTAATGTTGATGTCAGTCTTGTGTGAGATATATAACACTGTAATGTTAGACTGAATGACAAACCTTGTAATGTTGATGTCAGTCTTGTGTGAGATATATAACCATTCAGTCTAACAGTACAGTATTGAATATTTCACACAAGACTGATATTCAACATTACAGTTTGTCATCCTCGGTCTAACATTACAGTGTTATATATCTCACACAAGACTGATATCAACATTACAAGGTTTGTCATCCTCGGTCTAACATTACAGT